GGGGTATAAATGAAATAAATAAATAAATGGCCTTTTTTCTTTTTATTGGGATTAGGTATTTATAGGCTGAAATCAAAATGTAACAAAATTATTAACCTACCTATTTAGATCAAAAGTAAACATTCAGACTTGAACGCAATACATTTTGGAACAATATTTTACTGTGGAATCCTTTCATCTAGCTACACATGCCTACCTAGTCAGTGTGATTTTCGTGGCAGTTGTCTGTCAGCCAAGGTATTAATGCCCAAGTCAAGGTTTGTGACAGATACCCTTAAAATGCCGTGTAAATGTTCATCTGTAAGTCTAGACCTACACTTGGATTTCACAATTTTCACCTTGGAAAAAGTTTGTTCACAGATGTATGTGGTGCCAAAGACGGTGAGCATGCCTGCAGCAAATTTCTTTAGGCCGGTAAATACATCAAGTAGACAAATTAAAAACAGAATGCTAGACATTGAATGCCAGATGTTAGTCAGGCCAACAAAACCTGCTCCCCGCTGAGTTTTGAGATTTTCCTCATTACTGGGAAAATGGTCCCATATCTATCCTCTTTGCAAGTGCCACAGCAGCGCAGAGCATTTTCCCTTGCCAGATGTAATGCCATGCCTTCTGCTATTTTTATGGCATGGTATGGCAATAAGATAGCCTACTCAGCCAGATACTTCCCTTGCAATCAAAAATGTATGGAGTCAATCACTCATGTTATTCTCTATTGTCATCTGTATACAGATTTACGTTACATGCATTTACATTCTGTTCTAGTTAGGATGAAGAACTGTTCTGATACATTCAGGGTTTGTAGACTCTTGAATGATTTCTCCTCTAATGTCACTGAGAAGGTGGCTAAGTTTCTCTATTCTGCTATAAAGGTATGCCAAGGGATTTCACAGAAATAATCCTATATTTACACAGATGTATATGTATGTTGTGGTTCTAACTCACCTTTTAAACTGTATTAACTTGTATCAATTTTTTTCTATGACAATAAAGGCTACTTAACAGGTAGACCAGAATAGAAATCTAACAGACTATTTTCTTTGTAAATGTCTTTGAGATGATCACCGGCTTACAAATCAGTTAGTTCCATCTGAAAAAACTTGCTTGCATCTTCTGGTGCTTCTTCAAATGGATTCTGAAACCTGCTTATTTCCTTTCCATGCTTATGGCAATCAGTGAATCTATTCTGGAATTCCACCTGCAGTAGGTTCAGTGCTTTTATGTGTCCTTCAACACTGAATTGTAAATTCCTGTTATTCTCAAATTTAGTCCATTGCAGCATGAGAAGTTTGAAAAGTTGTTGTTGTTGTTCAGTCGCACAGTCGAGTCCGACTCTTCGCGACCCCATGGACCAGTTCACGCCAGGCCTTCCTGTCTTACGCCGTCCTCCGAAGTCTGCTCAATTTCATGTTCATTGCATCTATGACACTGTCTAACCATCTCATCCTTTGCCGTCCCCGTCTTCTTTGACCTTCAATCTTTCCCAGCATCAGGGTCTTCTCCAGTGAGTGCTCCCTTCTCATTTGGTGGCCAAAGTATTTGAGCTTCAGTCTCATGATCTGGCCTTCCAGGGAACAGTCAGGGTTGATTTCTTTTAGGATTGACTGATTTGATCTCCTTGCAGTCCAAGGGACTCTCAAGAGTCTTCTCCAGCACCATAGTTCAAAAGAATCTATTCTTCGGCGCTCGGCCTTCCTTATAGTACCATGTGGACTTCCATACATGACTCTCCTCTTTTACTCTGAGCAAGAGGCTCTTTAGATCCTTTTCACTTTCAGCCATTAGAGTGGTATCATCTGCATATCTGAGGTTGTTGATCTTTTCCCCAGCAATCTTAATTCCCGCTTGTGATTCATCCAGGCCAGCATTTCGCATGATGTACTCTGCATATATATTAAATAAGCAAGGTGACAGTATACATCCTTGTCGTACTCCTTTTCCTATGCTGAACCAATCAGTTGTTCCGTATCCGGTTCTAACTGTCGCTTCTTGGCCCTTATACAGGTTTCTCAAGAGACATGTGAGGTGGTCTGGTACTCCCATCTCTTTAAGGACCTGCCATAGTTTGTTGTGATCCACACAGTCAAAGGCTTTAGCATAGTCAATGAAGCAGAAGTAGATGTTTTTCTGGTACTCTCTTGCTTTCTCCATAATCCAGCGAATGTTGGCAATATGATCTCTCGTTCCTCTACCTCTTCGAAACCCAGCTTGTACTTCTGGTAGTTCTCTATCCACGTACTGTTGAAGCCTAGCTTGTAGGATCTTGAGCATGACCTTGCTAGCGTGTGATATGAGTGCAATTGTGCGATAGTTTGAACATTCCTTGGCATTGCCCTTCTTTGGGATTGGAATGTATACTGATCTTTTCCAATCCTGTGGCCACTGTTGCGTTTTCCAAATTTGCTGGCAAATTGAGTGCAGCACTTTAACAGCATCATCTTCTAAGACTTTGAATAGCTCAGCTGGGATACCATCACCTCCACTAGCTTTGTTGTTAGCAATGCTTTCTAAGGCCCATTTCACTTCACATTCCAGGATGTCTGGCTCGAGGTCAGTGATTATACCGTCGTGGTTGTCAAGGACATCGAGGTCTTTCTTGTATAGTTCTTCTGTGTATTCTTGCCATCTTTTCCTAATCTCTTCTGCTTCTGTTAGGTCCCTACCGTTTTTGTCCTTTATCATGGCCAGCTTTGCATGGAACGCTCCCTTGATTTCTCCAATTTTCTTGAAGAGATCTCTAGTCCTTCCCATTCTATTGTTTTCTTCTATTACTTTGCACTGTTCATTCAGGAAGGCCTCCTTATCTCTCCTTGCTGTTCTCTGGAAATCTGCATTCAGTTGGGTATATCTTTCCTTTTCACCTTTGCCTTTCGCTTTCCTTCTTTCCTCTGCTATTTGTAAAGCCTCATCAGACAGCCACTTTGCTTTCTTGCATTTCTTTTTCTTTGGGATGGTGGTGATTGCTACCTCCTGTACAATGTCACGAACCTCCGTCCATAGTTCTTCAGGCACTCTATCTATCAAATCTAGACCCTTGAATCTATTCTTCACCTCTACTGTATATTCATCAGGGATGCGATCTAGGTCAAACCTGAATGGCCTCGTGGTTTTCCCAATTTTTTTCAGTTTAAGTCTGAATTTTGCAATGAGTAGCTCATTATCTGAGCCACAGTCAGCTCCAGGTCTTGTTTTTACTGACTAAGACTAGATTAAGACTAGATGTGTATTTAAGCTGATTAGAAGATCTCCTCTCCTGGGTTTTTAGTCAGTAGTGGGTATCTTTTCTTTATCCCCTTAAATGTAGTTCCCTTCCTTATTTCTGTTATAGTTTGTAGTTTTAATAAAAATGCAATAAAAATTCCCCATTGGGGAGCAAAAAAAAAAAGGAATAGCAGAAGCTGGAAGGGATGCAGCCAGCCAGAAGCTCAGCCACCACGCCCCCCCCCCCTTGCAGGGACTTTTCTTACTGCTGTCCATAAACTGTGGAACTCTCTCCCACGGGAAGTGCAACTGGCATGACGACTGTGTTGGGGAATGGCTCTGTCAGAGCACCTAGCAAGACACGGAGGGCTATGTGAAGAAACAGCAGTTTAAGTCTGACAAGAGACAGAAGATGCCGGACATGGTTGGCAGTTGGCGGAAGCATCTTGGGCCCCTAGCAAATCTGCTGCTCTACCAGAGGGCCCCTGCACCTCCGCCTATGTCTGCTTAGACACTGGCGAGTAACACAAACATTAGACCCTGCCTGACACTGCCAGGGCCCTCTCCTCCAAAGGGGACCAGCCCTGGTGAGCACTGCCGGTGGAGGTTCTCACCGCTCAACAGAGTGCAGAGATGCCATCATTATATTTTATATTCTCATTATTTGTCAGCTGTGGGCACACGTATTAAATACCGCCTTGAGACCAAATAACAGCTAAATAGAATATGATCTCCAATCACACTAATAAGGTCTGAGTCAATGATATCCATCAATTTAGCATCTACAGTTGTCTTATGATCACTGTTGCTGTACCAGAGCTGAAAACTGTGGTGGTGATTATATTTTTCTCTCTCACTTCCTTCCCATCGCCTCCAGTTTATCTTCCCAGCAACCCTGCCAGGTAGGTAAGGCTAAATGAGAGTGACTGACCCAAGGCCACCCTTGAGCTTCATCACAGAGACAGGATTTAAACCTGGGTCTCTTGAACCCAGCGCTCTAACCACCCGCCATGGGAGAAGAGTCAGCTCTGTTAACCTGTGCAATGATGTGGTCAGCCATGGTTAGCCATGGATGTACATTTCTGTGCTGAGCACCGGAATGGAGTTTTCCTGCCAACCCAGATCTTAGAAAGGGTGTCGTTAAGCGCTCTCTGCACATGGGTGCTGCAGAGACAGAGTATTCTCGCTCTCCAGCAAGAAAGATGCACGTGAGCTTGAAAAGGAAGCACATCTCCCCATACACTCTTCAAGTGGACCCTGGTCGCAACAGGGCCATCTAACCTCATCGCATGCACAGCAGAGTGACGGAAGGGGAAACAGACAAACTCCCTTCAGTGTGCTACATTTTCTCACAGGTTGTAACTTCTGATCCCCAGGGCCAACCAGTTCACTAGGCATGCCCAGGTGATTCCCAGAGGTAAAGCAGCACCAACCAGCCCTGCCGCTTCCCCATTTACTCTCAGTGTTGGGGGGATCTGGGGTCAGACTCCTGGGAGGCACCCCGGCGAGCCATCTCCCCCTCCCTCCCTCCCTCCCCCAGGGTGTGGGGGAAGCAAGGAGGGCAGGCAGTGTCTTCCCTCCTCCTTGCAGCGCCATTTTTTGTTTTTCCTGACAGTTCTTCCTCAGACATTTCAAACACGTCCTGATCTTGAGATTCAAAAGACAAAAGAACAAAAAGCAAAACACCAACAGCCCTCGGGGTATGTGCATCTTGTTTCCCTCTGAGCTTCCCACATTTCCTAGGGTCAGAGAAGTCATGAGACATCAACCATGCTACCTCCTGTGCATGCTGTACCTACCACAGAATTGTCAGTGAAGGAATCTGGGTTGTTCTCATATATGAATTTCTCCACCCTCATCTGGCGAAGTTTGAACATCTTGGATCCCCTGTTGGTGAGGAGAGAGAGCTCTTCCAGCATCACGTCCTTGGGGATGCTGATCTTCTTCCCCAGGTTCAGCTTGGACACTTCTTGTGGCATGACTGAAGAGGTACAATAGGAAAGGTCCTTAGAACTGCAGGCACCCAGCCCCCCCCCCCCAACCCTCAGCTTTTCCCATCACTACCAGCAAGCAGAGAGGTTCAAGGCACCGTCTGCTTAATAAACTGTTAGAGGTGGAAATCGACTTCTCTAAAGCTCTGCTGAGTCTTTGATGATTGTACTACGGAGGAGGAACTTAGAGACTTGGGGACAATTGGCATGTACTGAAGGGGGAAAGTATGTCTGTCTCCCACCTGCCAAACATCCCTGCTGAGTACTCCCTATTATCTTGGCAAATGCAGGTTTGGGAACACAGATGTGCCCCACAAATATCTCATTCCACCCATAGTGTCCCTGTAAAACTTAGAAAATCTGTACAGGCACATCCTGTTTCTAAGGTAAGCAAAGCAGGCTAATTGATCCAGGACCTACATGCAGAATGTCTGGTATGTTCTCCTGTCCAGAGGAAGGGCCGTGGCTCAGCGGTAAAGCCTCTGCTTGGAAAGCAGAAGGTCCCAGGTCCAATCCCTGCCATCTCCAGTTAAAAGGGCCAGGCAGTAGGTGATGTGAAAGACCTCCGCCTGAGACCCTGAAGAGCCACTGCCCGCCTGAGTGGACAGTGCTGACTCTGATGGACTGACAGTCTGATTCAGTATCAAGCAGCTTCATGTGTGTGTGTTCTATGCTCTGATGTCCAAGAATCCCCCCCCCCACCCTCTTGGAGAGGGACCTGAGACAAGGAGAGTAAAGTGAGGCCTGACTTCAGGTCCACCAGGCAGATATGCAAACAGAATACATTTCTCATGGCAGTGCTTTTACACAACAGAATGACCGGACTGGGTTTGGCAGTGGATCATGACATCATGGCTCTGAGTTAATGATGTCACAAATCACCAACAGGGTCCCCGTCTGAATCTCTTTCTTTATCAACAATCTCACAATGTTGTCTGTGTGTTGTAAATTCTTTATTGCTGTGCCATGTATTGCGTGTAAGAATCAATATGGGGAAAGCCACAACTACCGTCTCAAAAGCAAGTTTAGTTATTGTCCCACAATTTTGCGCTAAGGCAAAAACGCAGATAAAGATTTGCTGCTGCATGCTCTTTCCTTGACAACCACACATCATTTTATAAAGCTTGTGAAAACATTTAGCTGCTGGATGTTCTGCTCGGGTAGTGCCATTCAGTTTTTAAGAAGCCCAGCCGTTTGGTCCCTGCCACATTGCCCACACTGACCATCAGCTGCTGCCACAGACAAACCGCTCTCCCAATTAATAACCATGCCATTCAGATGACAGTTCCTTTGGCAAGCAGTAGCACAAGGCAAGATAATTCCTGTTGTCCTCACTGCCTGCCTTACTGTGTAGAGTGGTGGAGGCTTATATACGGGACAAACTTCTGCCTGTTTACAGCGTACAACAGGGGTCCAAAGACAGAACAAAAGGCTCTAAGACTGACACCCAGGAATCAGTGTTGGAAAAGTCACTTGTATAAGAATTACAAAGGGGTTTGCTGGAAATATAAAAAAGAAGATGGTGCCTTTTATCATATGTGGTGGACTTGTATCAACACCAAAAGATACTGGGAAAATATACATGAAGAAATTCAAAATATTTTAAAATCCAAATTCCAGATGGAACCGGAGACTATTTCACTGGGAATCTCGCCAGGCAGTGCTCCCATTTGTTGCCCTGAACCACGACCCGAAGGTCCTACAGGGCCACAATGCCAAGGCCACCGCCACAGCCACACTGCCTGGAAAATCTACAACAACTAATGCGATTGTCGATTTTGTATGTTTATAATGTGTTTTAAATTTTATTGTATTTATTGAAATGTTGTAACCTGCCCTGAGCCCGTTTACAGGATGGGCGGGATATAAATGCGAGAAATAAATAAATATAACAAGTAGCTATTCTCCCCCACTTGTGGAAGGACAATCTTTCTAGAGGTCAAAAGGACCTGTAGGGAACAGATGGAGGCGGGGAAGCAGAGCAGTGGCGATGGGACGTTTCCTGACCCTGCCCCCGCCACAGTGGCCATTCCCTCCTGACGTCTCCAGGGTGTTTGTTTAAAGGTGTTTTGATCTCTATCTTCTGCCCCCCACCCCCACCCCCCAGTGCCATGCTGGGGCTCCTTGACCACACCAACCCCAACAAGCGTTGTGGGCGTCTGGGCCAGAGCCATGCTTTGGGCAGAGTCTGGTCAGTTCCAGGGGTCAGTACAGGTGGCTCCACAGCCCCCCGCATTCTCTTGCAGTGAGTCAGAAGTCTGCATTCCCCCCCACCACCTGTGGCTCTTTCCTTGGAATAACAAATTCAGACCGTGAGTGCTCCCTTTTTTCAGTCTGTGGTGGTCACCGACTCCCCCTTGAAGAAGGACTCCTGATTGTCCCCTACATGAAAATCTGCAGACAATACAGACATGCGGGAGAGGGACTGCTGGGAGAGGTGTGCGCGCACATCTGTATGTATGTATGTATGCACGCATGAGGGTACATCTATCTTACCTTCTTGGGTTAATTCTAAAATGAGCTTAGTTGGCTTTCTCTTCTTGTTGGGAGCCGGGGTTCCTGCAAGAGGCATGCTGTGCGAGGGAGTTTCTGTATGAGAATGGAAGAGTGTGGGAATGAGTGCCTGCTCACATGACACAGGATGAAGCCACTGCCTGCCCCTCCCACCATGGGACAGGCACATTTTCATCCCACCCTTACGCACTCTACAGTTCCTTTGTATATAGAAGACCTACCAGTCAACCTTGATCTCCTCAAGCTCTACACTTTCCTCCCCACCAGTACAGACGCACTCTAGGCACACCAAAGAATCGTTCCCTAAATGGTCTCTAAGAGGGGCATCAACACCAATGCTTCCCTGTTCCTGGGAGGACGTTTTGCAGTGATTATGACCAGTTTCAGAATGTTCCCCACCAAAGGCCCGGCTGGTGGGCTATGCAGTGCCCACCTGCCCAGTTTGCTTAGAGTTAGCGGAGTTCACTTGCCTGGGAGAACATTTCCCCTGTTCCATCCCTTGTCTCTAGTTGGAATTGCAAAGCTGATTTGGCTTTAAGTACCTTGGCTTCCGTAAGGATGGAGGTGGATGGGAGGGGGGGTATTTCCACTGTATCTGCTCCCTCGCTCCCCCGACTCACACTCTCTGCATCCCCCATGATTCCACTTTGTTCCCTCTCACCCTGCTCCACTCACTTCCTCCTGCTGCCTCCCCCTGCTCTTCCTGGCTCTCCTTGCTCCCCCTCCTTTAGTATCTTCCACTCTTATTCCTCACTCCCATTATCTGGGTGGCAACATCTGCCGCTATCTGAGATTGCTCTAGCATACCAAAGTACCACCTCAATATCCTTTCTGCAGCACCTGTGCTTATCCACCACATCTGTCTAGTGTCCATTTAGAATATGGAGAAAAATATGGGGAAAACAATCTGTTCAACCACAAGGACCAGTCTATACAGATTCCACCAGTGTGTGTGTGTGTGTGTGGGGGGGCTTTCTGCTGAAGAAGAAAAAAGTTTCTTCTTCACTCTACTGTTGTATTCATACGTAGGAGGAGGGCTGAGGAAATACGTGCCTAGTTGTAGTCTAGTCGTCCAGTTCAGCTCATCTAGTTGAGGGCTGTCTGTGTGTGTTGGTGGGAATCGGTTTTGGGGTGATTTGA